GAGATGAGATGAGATGAGATGAGATGAGATGAGATGAGATGAGATGAGATGAGATGAGATGAGCTTTGATCTGCCGTTCCAACTCACATGTTGCAGGGTCGTCTAGACGGTCTCGTGATGACATGCCTCTTTATGGATAGCCTGTTTCGCCCAACAACCATCACTCACGGAGAGCAGACATGAGTCAATATTTTTGTCCCACCCCCTCAACTCGGGCTCATCAAAGCCTCTACAGACGGCATCACGGGTGGTCACCTCCCAACCGGCATACCGAGGCTTCGACACCCCCTTTCCACTGCAGCCCCCTGCCCCGGGAACCTGGCCCCAGAAGACCACCTGCTGGCTGACCGCTTTCAATGGACCTGCGCTTTCCCGGAGGATGCGGCCACATGATGGATCCATCAATCAGAAGGTCGGTCATGGGCATCATCTTCAATCCTGCTGGCAAGAGGCAGTGTAGATGTAATATGTCTTCGCCTGGCTGCGTCAGTGTCGATAAATATGCCAATTTGTTTGTGCTGCCATGGCTAGACGGCTTTGACTAACCATGTCAAGCCTCCCACTATTGGCATGCTTCGAAGGCGCGGTGACTACTGAGCCGTTGCCATGGTAAATGGGATAGTTGGAATATGGTTAAGCTAAGAGCTCGAGGCCCAGCAACCAGATGACCGTCAAGCCCCGACGCCTCTACAGCCTCATTTGAGCCCCACCTCAGGACGGGATCTCGTCTTGATAGGCCCCAGCAAGGAGTGACATGAGAAGTACACATCATACTCTTCAGCTGTCGTCCTCCCCACGTCTAAAGCGTGGCAAAAAGTGTGTTGATTTAGTAACCCAAGCGGATGACGCAATCTGATCCAGCTACTCCTTGCGTCTGTGCTGCCAGCATCGGATGCTTCCATGTTGGCTGGTGGGCAAACAATTCATCCTTCCAAACTTTCGTCAGGTATTTAATGCAGCCAATAACCGTTAATTTTTGGTTTACTACGAGGCAAAGATTCAACTGCCGATCATCCGAGAGCAGATGACACCTGCTTGTGTCGGACACTTGTCCGACTGCCTATTGCAGCAAAAGACTCTATGGTCAATAAGGCCAAGAGGCAAATAAAAAAGACGAGCAGCCTGTCAATTCAGTAGAATGGCTGATGTTGTTCATCTGCAACGCGGCAGCGAGATCTTTTCCTGTTCCAACAACCCAAAATGACCCTGTTTTCCCCGGAAATGGATTCACGCTGGTCACACCTCCCAACTCTCGAGCTTGCATACAAATGAGCAGATACTTCTGTGACCGAAGGAGCCCTGCCAACACTG